ATATGATTTAGGCTATTTTCACCGAATTTTAAGATTGGTTCCCAAGACAGAATACAGTACATGCTGGATTCCACCGACCAGTAAATTTTGGGAGATGCGTAATTCCTCTTTCATTTGGAAAGCATGTTTCAACTCAAGTATATGTAACTATATGTTCTGCTACTTTAATCTGAAGTTAAAATGATTAGAATTTTTTAACAAGTCTCCTAAATTATACAACTAATGTTTTAAAAGAATTTGATATGAATACAAAATTTAAAGAAACATAATTGTTGAAAAAACAAAGCCGCTTCAAAGAAACTGTAGTTCAGGAGAATGTCTAGAGGTTCAAACAATATATTCTGCCGAGATTTTTCCTCAATGCAGTGAGTCAAACATTCCAAAGAATCGGCCTATACTAGCAAAAAACACACAAGAAATAACACCGCGAATAGCGACATTTTTGTCTGAAGGGTTTTACACATTTAAATTACATCACAGAATATTATATCATAAATGGAGAATCTAAAGATGTCTTAGCAGAATTTGTTGAAGATTCAAGAATTTATCCAAAGAAGTGCATGGATATCAGAAAAAAATATGTTCAGTGTTGATGAAACTAGTCTTATATTTCATCTCCTGTCTTAAAAAATCCTAGCCTTGAAATAAGTTTACTATCAAGGACAAAAAAATAGCTTCACTATTTTACTCTGACCAAATACTGGTAAAATGGAAGGCAGCACCTTGACGCTAAAGAATGTTACAGAAAACAAGCTTTTTCAAAAATCAGTATGGTAGATAGTGAATAAGACGGAGGATGACCGCAGATAAACTGAAGAGCCAAAACATTATGACCACCTACTCAATAACGTATTATGCGACCTTTGGCCTACAAAACAGCAGCAATTAACGTCATGGATGTCACAAGTTCTTGGTAAATGACTGAAGACAGGTTGTACCAAATGTCTAAACAGTGGTCATGTAAAATCGAGATATTCTGACAAGGTGGTGGTTGAGCTCTGAACTGCTGCTCCATGACATCCCAAATGTGCTCTAACAGGTTAATATCTAGTGAGTTAGGTGGCCAGGACATTAAATGGAATTCATCCTTATACTCCTCAAACCACTCCAACATAATTAGAGCCTAATGACATGGGATGTTGTCCTGCCGGAAGATTTCATTTCCAGTTGGGAAGACACACCATGTAAGACAGCAACTGATCAGCAATTTTGATAAGATACTCCACAGCTTGCATGGTCTTTTCTACCACAGCTAAAGGTCCCAGAGCTTCCCATGAGTACATCCCCAAAAGAATAACACTGCCACCACCAGCCTGTGTATGATATGCTGTATAGTGAGGAGCAACTGTTTACCTGGAAGATGACACGACCATCGACAAAATGAATCTGAAATCGTGATTCATCTGAATACGCAACTAATTATGGGAGGCTATAGCGTGAAAAGAACTGCTGCACTAAATAAAATTAAAGAAGTGAGATAAAAATTTAATGAGCAGAAACTCAGATTAGCTTTAGTGAAAAGAAATGAATTAAAATTCAATAACAATCAAACTGTTGTGCTTATACCTTGAGTTAACTTGATTACCTACAGTTAGAAAAAGTCTCTTTCACTTTGCTACTTTAGATTGGCAATAGGTGTCATTTTTTTATTTTGTTTTGTTTTTAATACTTTTGAAAACAAACTGTTGGAATACAAATATATTGATCATCAACTGAATAAAATCTCTATGTTTTTATTTAAAGGAACCTGCAATCTTATTTCTTGTAATAATACTTATCATCCAGGCATGAGATCATAATATAAATATTAAAAGAATTTATTATTTTCTACAAAGAACAAACTAATGGTAGTGAAAACAAATTCAGGAATAACCAACAGAGATCAGAGAAACGATGGTATAACAGATCAAGAATCTCAGGCTACTTTATTATCAAACCTATGACGAAAACAGTTTACTGTAAATGCCAATATCAGAGTCCAGTTTAAGTAACTGCAGAACCTGGCAATGGCAGTCATGAAAATTCTATACAAAAGACCAGCAAGAGTGGCAAACTCACAAGAAAAGTAAAAAAAAAATTATGTTGCATACAATATAAGAATCTGCTGAAAGCCAATTTTGGCTATATACCAAAATTAGGCTACATACCGTTATTACATTACAGTACAAAGTCCGTAATCCGGACTTGTTGGGACTTCAGTGATTCCTGATTATCAATTTAATTCTGGTAAAATGGCATGCAAAAATTATACAATTAAAAATATGATACTGTAATTTATGAAATAAAGAGCAATTATGATCTAAAGGGTATCAAAATTTACAAAAAAAAAAAAAATTATTTGTTTACTTTATTAATCATTTCTTTCAATGTAAGTTGTTTAAGTTGCTTCGTTTTTTGTGCTTATACTTTCTCTTTAATTCTATAAACAGACATAATTTCTGGTTCAGTTACAAAATTCCACTGTTCAAGTTCTGTAATTGCTGTGTCAAGAATACCGACTAACTTATCAATCGAAATTTTTTCGTTTTCAATAACCTCTCAGTCACTTTCTTCACTATCGGAAGTGACACATGCGTATCCAAAGCGTGCATTACATGCACATGCGTAAAGCATACAAAAAAAAAAAAGTTGAGGTCCGGATTATAGATCATTCCGGATAATGGATGTCTGGATTATGGACTTTGTACTGTATTATAGTATAACATATCAAAATTATAACATAGCTGCATACCATTATTATATTATTATACAGAAAAACAGCCTACATACCATTAGCCTCCAAGAACTGAATTTATTGAAGGCTATTATTATGTTATTGTAGTATTACATATTATTACATAGCAAAATTACTCCATAGCTACATACCATTATTATATAGCAAAATAGCCTACATACCATTAGCCTCGAAGAACTGAGTTTATTGGAGGCTAATGCACTTCGGGAATTAGTTGAATGATCCATTGATAAGAAAGTTATTGAAAGCTATTGGATATTATTTATAAAGTAGGAAAGGGGTAATTTAGAAACAATTTAAAAAGCAAGGCTAGTAGCAACTGGATTTAACCAAAGAAAAGGAATTGACTATGAAGATGGATTTAGCCCAGTAATAAGACTTGCAACCTTTAGAACACAGTTATCAAGTGCAGTTTACAAAATAAGATTTTTAATGTAAAACCAAATTATCTAAACAGATACTTGGATAAACCAATTTACATGGAACAACCACCTGGATTTATCTTGGATTCTAAAAATGCATATCTTGTGAATGAAGGTATACATGGGGATACAGTTAGGAAGAAGCTGGTATGAAGTTCTTAACATGAGTTTAACAAGATAAAAATAAGATCCATGCATTTATATTTATGAAGGTAAGCTCAATTTTCTTATGGTAGCAGTATACCTGGATGACTTAATGATCATCAGAAACTCAAATTCTGAAATAGATGACTTCCATCTCTTGATTTTCTAGATCATTTGCTTTATGAGAAGTTACTAAAACACACATTAGGAAATTTTTAGGAATAGGCAACAATCAAGAATTTGGAAATTTATTCTCAGTTTAAAAAACTATGCAATTAAAATTTTAAATAACTTGAAATGACTGAAAATAAACTTCTCAGGACTCTAAGAATACTGGGCAAAAAGCATGATGATATAGTATCTTTGCCACAAGTATCAAAAACAGAATATCAGGAATCATTAGGATCACTGATGTACTTAGCCACAAGTGGAAGAGCAGACTTAGCTTTCACCATTAGTAATTTGTCAAGATATAATACAAATCCTACAAAAAAACACTGGAAAGCAGTGAAGAGGCTATTTATGTATATTAAAGGAACACAAAATGTATGTTTGATATACACTTCAGACAGTGGAAAATTAAATGCTGTTTCAGATGTAAGTTGGTGTACTACTGAAGATAAAAAAAAAAATTGAAGGTTATTTTATAAAATTAGGTAAACATTTCATAAACTGAAAATGTAACAAACAGCGAAGAGTTGCTCTGTCTACAATGGAAGCTGAACTTGTAGCATTCTGTTAATGTGTATGTGAAATTAAATGCCACATCTGTTTACTTAAAGAACTGAAACAAGATGATCTAATTGAAAAAGAATTAAAAAACTAAACCTGACTGTCAAGGATTAACGAACTGGATTAAAAAAAAACCCAAAAACAAAGTAGTAGTTCAAGCTACGTTAATAGAAAACATTTCTTTGTAAAAGACGAATAGGAAATGAATGAAATCCTTCCTCAATTTGAGTGTTCTATAAATCAAGAAGCAGACAGTTTTAACAAAATATCTATATACTGTAAAATTGAAAATTTTACTTTTAAAGTGTGGACATAAACTGAATAATTAAGTCTTAACACAAATATAAGGAGAACAGACAGTATTTGTTTATAAAAATATAATTTTAAGTTTTTATATTAGGCAAGTTTAACATTTTTCTTTATTGTAAAAGACTGAGTTAATGTATCTGGCATCAGTACAGAATGTTATGTTTTTGGAAAATGTGATAGTTCTTACTATGATAAAGCTTCTTTAATAGTGTTTTATGCATTAATTTTCAATGTTTCTTTTTAAAGTAGATGTTGCTTAAAAAATATAACTTTTAAAAATCATCAAGAAATATTACTACTATTACGTGCAACTCTCAACTGTCTTTGCTGAAATAGTTCTGTCTTGATCTTTTCAAAATTGTAGTCTTACTCTAGCAACAGCATTATAATTACTTTGAGAAAAAGAGATTAATTTCAAATATGTCAATCTTATATACAACATAATCAATTACTAGACTTCTACAATGAGAGCTTTAAATATATTATCACATATTCCTTACACAATTCTACTTCTTAGCATTTTTTCTGGAGACTTTTTCTGGGGGAATTACTTGAATGCATATATCATGGGGGAAAAAAAGGAAAGAGACACAGAATGCAAACACTCAATACTTAAATACTAACTCATTTAAAAGTATGTACTTTTCGCTACATTTTACCTTTGCACCTGCAGCAGAAAGTTTGATAATTCCGACATATCTTGTTTGAGCTCCATTTTCTTCATGGCGGACAAGATCATCAATCAGATAACCTGTAATGAATTCAATTAAAATATGCAAACAATTGCAACAGACAAAATATTTAACTTTAAATATGACTCTCACTTAAAAATAGAATAAATGCAAAAGCACAAAGCTATTTTGCTATTTCAATCTAATGAATGGAATTAGCAGATAGAATAATTCAACAAGTAAGAATTAATTACATGAACTCATTAAAAATAATCAATTAGCTCCTTGGTAGAGCTCTCCGTGAAAGAAGCAATAGATTTACTAGATCTAAGACACTCCTTGTATCATATAAGAATCAGTTTTGCCAAATACTAAAAAGCTCATCACATACCACAAATTGAACAAACTAATCTGATGATGGACATAATCTTGAAAAATACCTCATTAAGGTACAAAATACATTTATAACTGGTTTAATAGATTCAGCTTACAGTTTGATTCTCTCAAATTCACTATACAAAACTTTTAAAAAGACAGTGTACAACTTGGACTTTCTGATCCTGTTTTAATTCTATATAACTATAGCAGAATATAATAGCGAATACATTCGTGAAAGTAAAACAAAAAAATCAAGATGAAATTTCTTCATTACTTGTACATTATTTAAGTTGCAGCAGTAAATGCCCAAGTACTTTAAACAAATGATATTCAATTAAAATTCCATACAGAAAGAATTTTATTCATGAAATATACATTGAAAGGAATAATGCAAAACTGGTGTTACACAAAAGTTTTACTTGAAAACAATTCTGAATCTAATTTCTCCTAACTTAAGCATTTTTCAACATCCTTGTCTATATATAGCTGGCCATTCAAAATGCAACACAAAGAAGGACAAGAGATATCAAAGCCAAATGTATTTCAAGGATTACACATATTGTCAATGTTAAATGAATTGAAATACAGACTTATTTCAGGTAAGGAAGGTGAGAAAGTCAGTAATGAGTGTTGCCTCCACATTTGTCAATAATGCTGCTACAAGCTGTGGCTTTGAGTGAAAGAGGCTTTTGTTTATGCTTCCACATGTAGCCAAAGCTCATCCCGTGCATCCAAGGGTGTGGCATGCCAGGCTAGGCATTCTCCAATCATTGACCAGACATGTCCGATGGGCAATGGATCTGGAGAATGGGCAGACCAGGGTAGCAACACAATATGGTGAGCTAAGAAGAAAGCTTAAACAATAGGCACAATGCATGGTCACTCTTCATCCTGTAAACGGGATTGCAGGCAAGCCCTGAAGGTAAGGATGGAGAACATGCAGCAAAACTTCAGACATATAGTGTGGGCTGGTAAGCGTATCGATAATGCATACTAGAGGGGTGAGGGAGTGGAATCCAATACCATCCCATAAGATAACATGATGATGCATAACACAATTGTTAAGCAGTCTCTCTCCATGGTGTCTCTAAACTCTAATCTGACCATCGTGATACTGCAGGCAGAAGCGTGATTCATCTGAAAGCACAAATTGATGCCACTCAGATGTCAATCTCCGCCATTCAATGCACCACTGTAAATTCAAACAACTGTGTTTTAAAAGCTGTTGTGTTACTGCATTCATTATGAAGTGGCAATGCACTCCATCAGTGCCATGCACACAATATGCCTGTCTTCCAGTGAAGCAGATTAATGAGGTGGTTACAAATGCTTCTGTCTGTTAGTCGTTTCCTTCTGCATTCACCAATTCCTTATTTGCATGGCTGTGGCTTAACTATGTCTGATATGATGGTCCACCAATAGCTGAGTGACAAAGTCGGTAAATATTGGTACTTGGCCCAGGCTTTGAATCCCAGCAAACAGGCTGGCTGCATGGGCGTTTTCATGGTTTTCCCCATGTGTAACATGTATATGAGACAGTTTTCTTTAAAAAGCCTTCTATGAAGGTATCCCTCCTCTTAGGCAGGTAGCCCTCAAGTGCTTTGCCATTAATCAAATAAACAAATCAAAACCAACATGATGACTGATTTCTCAGAAGGATAATCAGCAATCTCTGTATGCAACTGTAGTGTCCTCTATGCTTCCTCTCCATATTATCTTTAATTTCCATATGTTTTAATCTTCGTAAGATGGTAACACAGGATTGTTGCCCAGCAACAACTGGTAGATTATTTGATGAAAAATAAACGAGTTGTGTTCCTTTTTCTCAAGTCATCGTGTCATCAAATTTTATTCATTTAAAGAGTTAAAAGTTTCTTACGGGTAAAAGATTAACATAAAATATCCACTTCACAATGATTCTGCCTCAGCTGAACTCGGAAATGTTCTAAAACGATGGTTGTGTTTTTCTATGCAACACACTGAAGCGGCACACACAAAACGTCTGATGAGAGAACAATTCACATTATTCAAAATGGCAACCTTTTCTCATTTTATATTCAGACTGTAAGGAATGCTGCAGTCACCCATGATGCAGGGCATGCACTGAAACCATAATCATTTGCATATTCCATCACAGTATACAAATGATGCAAGTTTCATGATGTCTGAACACTTCCTTCATGGCGGTGCATTTTGAATGGTTAGTAGTTTAGATTATGAGAAGATACAGTGAATTCACAAGTCATGATCCACACAGAAAAATTCCTAAAATTGTAAGTACCTAAAGTTAAAGTTTAAAAAATTTTCAAAACCATCATTCATTGTTTATATATTGAAGGTTTGCATAAATCTATCATAATTTTCCTTAGAATATCAAAACATAAAACATGCCATACATTAAATGACTGAAACCACAACTTTTTCTCTAGGAAATTGACATTTTAAGTTTTCAGGAAAATGAACAGTTCACTAACATTCATAAAATCTCCTTTACCTTTTGTGGTGATCCTGATGCAAACAACACGTATTTCAATAAGTTTAAAAAATAAATCACTCAGTTGACAATGCATGAAAGAATGAATTTTGATAGCATCTCGTGACAAAATTTTACTATTCTCAGCCATTATAAAACACCAGTTGTATATTTCTTTTTGGATAAAAACTGGCTGGAAAATTATAAAAACCATGTAAGTGAATAATCAGGGGAGAAATCCAAAATAAAACACTGTTACAAGAATTAATAGTATCTACCAAAAAAAAAAAAAAAAAAAAATTGCTGTTAGAAGCAAGACTTAACATAAAGGTTCTTTGATTACAATAGTATGTATTATCCCTTCAACCATGAAGCCGTCACCAACCAGCACAATTTAATACCATTCATTATTAACCCTCTGAGCGGCCCAGGGTTTTCGATCTGTCATGAAGACCTGTATTTCAATAGCCTTTATTAGCTAAATACACTCGTGTGCAAAAATTAAGGACGAGACGGTTTTTTCAATATAACTTTGTACAAAAGCTTTCCAAATCAACACATTTAATACCGTAAGATCCCCAATACGTAAGGACGAGTAATGTAAGCAACACTTACTAAAACAGAAATCAGAGGGATAAAAAGAAGCTTTATTGAAAAAGTAACATGGAGCGCTATGCGACTGAAGGCCGAAACATCCCTGTGATGGGTGGCCAGCAAGAAACATCCTGTCTTTAATAGGGGATATGATCTCCCCTGACTGCTAGGCAGGTTTCACAGCGTCTGCCCATGCTGAGAATGAGGGTGTCAATGAGTTGTTGAGGCATTGCTGCCCATTCGTCTTGCAGCGCCAATCGAAGCTCCGGAATCGTTACTGGTGGTAAGGTACGAGCTGCCAAGCGTCTGCCTAGAAAATCCCATACATGCTCGATGGGATTGAGATCCGGAGATCGTGCCGGCCAATCCGTACGTTCAATATCCTCACTCTCTAAGAGCTGTTCGGCAGCTACTGTGCGATGACATGGTGCATTGTCGTCCATGAAAAGGAACTGCGGACCCATAGCGCCTCTAAAAAGACGCACATATGGAAGAAGAATCTTGTTACAATAACGGGTCCCATTGACTGAACCTGCATCGAAGATGTGAAGGTCTGTACGACTACCAAGCATGATGTCTCCCCAAACGAGAACACCGCCACCTCCATACCTGTCCCTTTCAATGATGTTCGAGGGATGATTGCGGCTTCCCCGCTCTCTCCAGATGAGTATGCGATGAGAATCGCTACTCAGACTGAATCTGCTCTCATCTCTAAAGAGTACCCGTCCCCATTTATTGTTTCTCCGATTCCAGTGTTCCCGGCACCACAGAGAACGCCTTCTCCAATGGGCAGGCGTTAGAGGTACACACCGTACAGGGCGTCGTGCAAACAGACCACCACCGTGCAGTCTTCTGGCCACGGTTAAAACGCGATATCGGTCGTCCAGTTGCCTGTGTCGTGTGTCTAGCGATTCTCCCGCTGTCTGCCGTCTGTTTCTTCTGGCCTGTAAGGCAATATACCGGTCATCTGCGGGTGTGGTTCCTCGTGGACGACCACTACTAAACCCCGGATAGCTGTTCCTGTAGTTTGAAATTGTCTCCAAAGTCGTGAACGATGCTGTGAGCAATTCCGAACTCTGAAGCCACACTTGTCACACTGCGGCCTTCCTCCAACTTCCCAATGATTCAACCTCGGGTAAAAGCATCCAGATGTCGTCTAAAAGATTGATTATTCACCATTTCTCGCTGAGGCAGCAACTCGGTGTGATTTTGACTGCTATACGGCATGCAATCTCTTTGCCAGAAATACTGATCTTACACCGACAACATGCTTTATACTACTCAGACACTTCCCCATTATGTCTACCTGCATATCTGCGCATGTGTTACCATACATCACCTTACTTAATCTCCTGATTGGTCTTTCTGTCCGCTCTGCCACTTCGTTCAGCTGATATGCTAATTTTTCGACTTCGTCCTTAATTTTCGCACACCAGTGTATGTATATTTACCTATTTTAGTCTCTATTTTCATAAACTTATATTCATCAATATGGCATTTATATTATTAATGAAAGTAAGAAAGCTAAATATCTTAAATTATAAGCTAATATATAACAAGTGACCAAAAAAAATCTCATGACCAAATAAAGCCGGTCATGGCACTCAGAGAGTTAATAAGCATGGTAAAACACAC